TCTTTCTTTCTTTCTTTCTTTCTTTCTTTCTTTCTTTCTTTCTTTCTCTCTCTCTCTCTTTCTCTCTTTCTCTCTTTCTCTCTTTCTTTCTCTCTTTCTCTCTTTCTTAACATTTATTCATTTTTGAGAGATACAGTGCGAGTGGGGGAGGAACAGAGAGAGAGGGAGACACAGAATCTGAAGCAGGCTCTGGGCTCTGGGCTCTGAGCTGTCAGTGTAGAGCTGGACATGGGGCTCGAACCCACAGACCGCGAGACCATGACCTGAGCCGAAGTCGGACGCTTAACCCACTGAGCCACCCTGGCACCCCTAAGTGGGATTTTTCGTGTTCTTTCTGAAATGGCAGAATTTCTTGGAAGGTCCCATTGCTACGTTTTGGATTCCATCTAGCCCTCCCACCCTGGTTTGAGGGGCCAGGTGCCTTTGGGTGGGCTAAGGAGACCCTGCCCTTACCTCTGACCCAAGATGGTGAGGCAGGACTCAGAGCCCCCCCCCCCCCCAGGCTTACTTTCAGGGAGAAACACACTGTAAAATCAGGTCAGAGAACCAGCCCTGACCCACGTCTTCTCCCAAGGACCAGGAAGAGCCTTAATTGGCTGATAGTTTTCATCTAGAAGAAGGTGTCCTGCGTGAATTTGAAAGGAGCTTTTGGTGAAGTAAGACTTCATTAATTAGCCTGTTAGGGAAACGGCTTCCCAGTATTAGGGGGGCTGGATAAATTTGATGACCACTGTTCTGGTTTGGGGTTCTGAAAAGGAGGAGCTAGGTTTTCATCCTTTTACTAAATATTGAGAAAAATGTAGTATCTTTTTATGTGTTTTGTTTGCTTTTAACCGTTGAGTAGCTGTGTGCCAGATACCATATTTGTTCTTATTTAATCTGTATAAAAAAATGCTACAAGCTGAGTGGGATTATTCCCACTTTAACAGATGAGGGAGCTGAGGCTCAGAAAGCTAGTTTAGCAACTAGCTCAAGGTCACATCTTACCGAGGAGCTGTGCTTGGGTACCAAGCCAGGTCATTGACTTCAGAGCTGTGCACATAGCCTCAAATCTTAACTGTGATTTCCCCCATCTTCCCAGCCACTTTGGGGCTGCTGATAATATGAAAATGCTCTAGATTCCTGACTTTCATTTCTTTCTCTTTTCTATAAAATCTGCTGCATTTGTCTTCCCTAGGAGGATGGACATATGATGCCAACATATCTGGTTTAAAATATATATATTTTGTTGTGATATGGAACACATCAAAGTAAATGAAGTAAATGTGAGGTTCAATGATTTTTCTCCCTTGGATTTTTTTTTCAGTTTATTTATTTATTTTGAGAGAGAGAGAGAGAGAGAGAGAGAGAGAGAGCGCGCATGCAGGCCAAGGGCCGAGAGAGAGGGAAAGAGAGAATATCCCAGGCAGGCTCCACAGAGTCGGACACAGGTCTCGAACTCACGAACTGTGGTGAGATCACGACCTGATCCGAAGTCGGACACTTAACCAACTGAGCCGCCCAGGCGCCCCTCCTTCAGATTTTTCCCCTTAAGTGATTTTTTTGCATCGTTGGGGAAATCCCAGCAAAATCCGCTCTCCACGTGCCTTCCTTTGCCTTTCTGTGCCAGTCTTATTTGCACGTCTCCGTGTTTCTGACGTTCTTCAACCACGAGGGCCTGGGCGCACAGATGAGAAGCCTACCTAGGGTGCCTCAGAGTACTAAAGAGGGTCTGAAAAGTGGGGGAAGACCAAATTCTTTTCCGGTAAAAGTAGGCTAAGACAATTAGGGGCTTAGATGCTGCCTCAAAAACCGCCCAGCAGCGTATTCTGACCTCGAGTAAGAAGAGAGCGTAGGAGGTTGTGGAATGGGCCTGACAGCGTGTTTTCCCTGGAACCCCTTGCAGCCTGGCCATCAGTAGGACCCCTTCTGGGAAAGGAGTCAGGCTGCCCCCTTACAGAGCACCTACTGCAAGCCTTGTGTCCAGCTCGGTGTTTGGCAAACAACACGTTTTTGATCCTCAAGAACACCCCTAAGGTATGCATGTGGACACCCATTACCAGACAGGGAAACTGGCCCCCTGAGGTTAGATGGCCCTCAAGGCACGCCGAACTGCCCCCATGTGTCCTAACAGTCCCTTCTGCTTGTCCCTCCAAGACTGGCCAATCTGGGGGCAGAGGGCAAGGACACCTTTATCATTGGGTCCCTGGTGCCTGGTGCGGTGCCATCTTGGCGTTTTTGGTAGGCTCTGAGCGTTGTTGAATGAGCAGAGGGGAAGTAACTTGTCCACACAGGTGCAGTGGTGAAGCCTTTCCATTGTAGGACTCCGAGGCTCCAGGACAGCTGCTCTGTGGGTCAGAAGTAGGATCTGATTCCAGCTCTTTGGTTAATAAGTGGGATGAACACAAAATGACATATGTACCCGTTTATCTGAATTGCAACATTAATGTAGAAAAGGATTGGAAGCGACCCAAATACTCATCAATAAGGGCCCGGTTAACAAAAATGATGGCACATTCCAAACGGTGCAAATAAGAAACAAGAAAGGTTTTTGTGTACTATGTTACATGAACTTCATGGAAAACAAAAACAAAAAAAGGCAAAGATCAGTATATAATATGCTAGTTTTGGGTAAAGGAGAGAAAAATAAGATTTTGAATTTGTGTATGTGTAAACAAATTCTAGAAGGATATACTTAATGGGTGGGATGGTTAACTAGGCAGGATGGGAGGGAGAATTAACTGTTTATCTTATGCTTTTTTTTTTTTTAAGTATTTATTTTGAGAAAGAGACAGAGCACATGAGCAGGGAAGGGACAGAGAGAGAGAGAGAGAGAGAGAGAGAGAGAAAGAGAATGAATCCCAAGCAGGCTCCGCCCTGGCAGCATAGAGCCTGATGTGGGGCTCGAATCCATGAACTGTGCGATCATGACCCGAGCTGAAGTCAAGAGCTGGTCGCCTAGTCGACTGAGCCACCCAGTCGCCCCTGCTGTTTGGTTTTGAAACCATGAGAATGAATGTTAACTTCTTCAAAAAAGTAAAAAGAAAAAAAATAACGGAAGTCACTTTGGACTCGCTATTTTGTCTGTCCGGGCAACCTGTCTCCCCATCCGAACAACGAGGTGATTGGATTAGAGCAAGGTTCCATCACGTTGTGTATATTGTGTGTATGTCTGACTTTTGTGGGCTTTTCCAGGAGACACTGACCTGGTCCTAGGACGGTCTGCAGTCCCTTCTGTTGGTGGCCTCCACCTGGATCAGCTCTGGCTGTTTG